TAGCAACGAGGCTTTCCTAATACCTTACAGGTGGAGGCCGCTGTTGTCCATCACACCATCAAATAATGAATCTTTTCTACCAAGAGAGGCAAATGCACTAGATGTGATTAAAACAGAGCACATACCAAAGAGGTTAAGGCACTAGAAGGAAATTTTCACTCTGAATCTGATTGGAAATAAATAGCAACGAGGCTTTCCTAATACCTTACAGGTGGAGGCCGCTGTTGTCCATCAAGTTAAAATAGGAAAGATTTTATTGAAACGGAAGTAGTATAGTAATACTTTAAGTCTATCTAAATTCATCCGCTTTCAGGACAACAAAGAATCTCAGGACCCTCAAATAATGAATTTAGTGAACGCACATACTAACAAAAAAAGCAGCCCAATATTTTATTCAAATATGTAAAATCTTACTGAATTTCTAACTATTATCTTTATTTTTTGTTGAGTTGGTTTCTCCAAAAACTAATCAGATTTTAAAAAGATAAAATGCGTCCATCCTTATTGCAAAACATTAAGGGTAGAGTGGATATTTTCCACTGCTTTTCAACTCTTCTTAAAATGTGTGGAAAGTTAACTCCTTAAAATGCGTTGAAAGTTAACATGGGAAGATTATTCCTGGATGGAGGAAGTATTATCTACTCCCTTAGTCGAGGTTTAGCTGTCCACTTTCTAAAACTCATTTTTAAGAAATGAGTTAAATATTCTTTAAATGAGTATGTCACCCATTCATGTCAACATTGCTTATACCCTGGTTGCTGAGGACATTGCACAACCTTTTCCCAGCCTCCAAGCTTCTTTTGGTTTAGCCTACGTGCCAACTTTTCTCCTGCTCGGGCATGCCCGTTCTTGAATTGTATATCCTCTCTTGGGTTTCAATAGTATATTCACATGTCACTAATTTAGCCTACGTGCCAACCTTATACCCATCTCTAGGATATTTTAGACAATTCTTCCTAATTGCATCATTGAATATGGAAATTGGACAACTGTTTCCACACAAATAAAAATGAGAATGTGGGCAACTCAATCCTGATAGATGTAGTGTTTATTTATTTACTTTTTTTGTTCTATCGCCCTGTGTGAAAAGCTGTTAAGATTTTATAACCATAGTTTGCTGTCTACAGGATGAGGAGGAGAGCAAGTGCACATGTCCTCCTGGGTTTAAAGGTGACGGTAAAAGTTGTGAAGGTAACACATTTAATTAATTTTCACTCCAATATTACTCCGTATATTTTTTAGCGTATTAACATCAAGAAATTCATGATGGTTTAAGGCATGTCTGAGTTCGGCTGGTCTTCGAAAAAAGGATGTTATTATTGATTTACTGAATGCTTGATGTGAAAGTTAGAAATAAAAAAATTGGTCTTTATTCATTTCTTTGACATTAAAATAGATGTTGATGAATGCAAAGAAAAGAAGGCATGTCAGTGCCCTGAATGCAGCTGTACAAACAATTGGGGTGGCTATGAATGCACATGTAGCGGTGACCTACTCTACATCGCCGACCATGATACTTGCATTAGTGAGTTCTAAAATTTGTTTAGTTATGCTGAGGATATAATCCCACATCGAACACCCAAACTAAAAAAATATAAGAATATGAAATACTCTTCCCATAGTCAATTGGTTTTGGCTTGGAATCTCACCATTCTACAAATTCTTATCATTCTACATGTATGACTTGCTCTATCCCAAAAAACAGGTTCAATTTTAAAAGTCAACTCTAGTTTTAAGTATAGCTCATGTGGCTGTGTAAAGCAAGTGTTTTAGTCAATTACACCAAGCACTCTTGAAAACTTTAACACTATGTTTGGTTCAATGAATTTGAAAGGGAAAAGAAAAGAAATTAAGATGGAAAACAATTTTTCTTGCTTGGTTAGAGAGGAAAAGAAAAGAAAAGTGGATGGGAAAGAAAATAAATAGGTAAAATATACTAAGAGGAGGGAAAATCAAATTCCTTCCATTTTGGTGAGAGAAATGAGAGAAACTCATTTTCTTTTTCTTTTTCTTCCTGATTCCTGGAACGGAACATAGTGTAAAGCTTTGTGCATTGGTTGAGTTGGCTAAAAATAAAAGTTTGTACCTTACTCAAACAAGACTCTTTTTTCTTTGGGATGGATGGAGTATTTGATATATTAAACACATGAACACAATGAGATACACAAGTGATAATTGCATAATGCTGATTCTCAAATGCAGGCAAAAAGGCCACCGAAGTCAGATCTTCGTGGGCTGCTCTTTGGGTCATTTTGATAGGACTGACCATGGCTTCCGGTGGGGCATATCTTGTATACAAATATAGATTTAGGGTAAGCGTGAAATCTTCCATCCAGAATAAACCCCATTTAACTTTAATAAAAAGAATTTGTTCATATTATTAGTTCATCACCCTTGGCTACACTTGTGGTTTGTGATCTAACCCTTTTTTTTGTGTTGGTGTCGATGTGCAGTCATACATGGATTCTGAGATAAGGGCCATAATGGCGCAATACATGCCACTAGACAGCCAAAATGAAGTCCCAAACCACGTTTCTGAAGATCGTGCTTGAAGGACATTGACTCGTTGCAATGCATAAAAAGAAAATGTATGAATTTCCCAAAAAGTACAGGGAGAAGTGGTCTTGTCCTCTTATATTATCAGTTTTCTTCTTCTTCTTCTTCTTATTATCATGATGTTACGGAATGCAGGAACTAAACACCTCTTACTCAGTACCCAATTACCCAAATAGGGTTTTGTTGAGGGAGAGATGTAAATGATCAATGTGAGATGTATGTGTATGAACTTAGAAACTCTGTTTGGTTGGTGTAAGCAGGAAAAGTGGTAGCTGGATGATGTGGGGCTCTGTTTATGTGGCTCCCCTCCTCCTATGGTTATGGTTAGATGACCACATTTACTCAGTACTCCTAAATCTGGTCTATTATGTAGTCATTGTGACTAATATTATGATTTGTAATTTTGTATGTACATTTTGTATCCCCACTCTTTGTACTCTTATTAATGTTCCCACTTTTGATTATCTCAAGAATAATATGGAGTAACATTATAAGTTTCATCATGATAGTCCAAAATAGTACTTCGTCTGTCTCAAAAAAAAATCCTGTTTATTATTCCAAGCTTCCGATAACCTTTATTTCCGTATGTTTTTTACTGGTCATTTGGTAAAATAAAATATTTTTGCTATCATTTATTTTGTATAATTTTTGATATTGTTTTTAAATATGTGAGTAATACTTTTGATTTTATACAAAATTGTAAAGAAAATCATTTTAAAATACATGACATTTTGTGTTGTTCAAAACATAAAAAATTTCGGGACGGAGCGAGTACAAATCTTCGTTGCATTTGCGGATACACATTTTATTCGGGATGAAACATATATTTGGATTTTGGACTGACCAAGTTCTAAATAATGTACATGCTTTTTAATTTGGGACATAGGAGTAATATAGTTTCACTAATCATTTTATAAATTATCCATATTTGATGAATTAAAGTCAACAAAATAAGTTCATCCCCTACTCAAATTTACTTCTTGTTTTATCACAAAAAGTGTGTTAAAAAGTTTATTGTGCATTTGTGATTTATTTTCATAAAGCACAGAAATTTTAGTACTCATCCATTCCAAAAAAATAAAATTACTCTTCATTATTCAAAAGTCAAGAATTTTTTTTTATTATTTGTACATTTTGATTGTCTATTTAATAAAATAAGATAATCTTGACATTTCTTATTTGTTTATATATATGTTTTGATGATTTATTTAATAAAATAACATAATTTTTAAAAATATAGATTTTCTTTTAATTTAGGAAAAATTACCCAAAATAATCCCAACTTTACTCGGTCTTTCAAAAATAATCACACCTTTCACTGTGATGCATAATAATTCAAACTTTACTGAAATTTGTCAGTTTTGGGTTGCCGTTAAGTTTCTAACGGAGGGTTAACGGAAATGCCCGTTTTAGGCAACAAAATGAAAGTTGGGATTATTTTTGATAAATTTTCATTTTTTTTATTTTTTTTTTGAATTTTTCATTTAAAAAATTTTAATTACTTTCTACCTCCATCATCATTTCTTTTTCCTTTTTTAAAGATTAGTCATAGTTTAAAAAATAAAAATAATAGATATAAAAAATGAAAAAATGAGAAATGTAACTAATTTGATACAAAAATAATAAAAGTAACTAACTTGAAATTGGTAAAAGTAAAATAAAAATATACGGGTGGGTTTGAATATTTTACGCATTATACAAAGTATTAATATATCACTTCTTATTTTTTGGAAAAAATTATCTACAATAATTCTAACTTTACCGACAGCTTGTTCTTTTAAAAAATAAGTTGTACATTAAGACTCCGTATAGTGTGTAAAATGTTAAAACTCACCACTTCGTATATATTTATTTTATTTCTTACCAGTTTCTGTTTAATTTCTATTGATTACATTATTTATTTGAATAATTTTGTATGGTTTTAGTTATTTTTCTCATTTTCATTATTTTTTACATCTATTTTTTTCTAAGGTGAGAATAATCTTTAAAAAAGAAAAAGAAATGGAGGTTGAAAGTAATTCAAAAAATTTAAATAAAAAATTCAAAAAAAATTAAAAAACAAAAATTCATCAAAAATAATCCCAACTTTCATTTTGTTGCCTAAAATGGACATTTCCATTAATCCTCCGTTAAAAACTTAACGGCGACCCAAAACTGACAAATTTCAATAAAGTTGAGATTATTATGCATCACAGTGAAAGGTGAGATTATTTTGAAAGATCGGGTAAAGTTGTGATTATTTTGAATAATTTTTCCTTTAATTTATATACCACTCTTTAAATAAAATAAATTAAAAAACTTAAAAAATTTACTTCGTTATTTAAGAGGAGTAAAATATTTGGGAAGGATTGTAAAAAAGGAAGAACACGAAATGGGTAGTAAAAAAAGCATGTGTCCAAAAGCACAGAAACACAATAAGAATGTCTAAAATCGATCGTCAAAAAGACGGGTGATGAGGATGGCGTGAGTTCGTGTTCGATTCCAGAAATTGCAATCCAGCTGAGCTAAACCTTCTGAAGAAGAGAAAAGGAAGAAGATCCCTTTCATAACTTTGATCTCAAATCCAACAGTTTCAGCTCCAATTCATCACCTACAATGGTGGTCTGTAAATGCCGAAAGGTATTTCGTCCCTCAAATCTCTCTTTCCTTTCTCTTCTACGAGTCTCTGTATGTATAATTATACGCTTCATGAGGAGCGGTCGTTCTGTCTATGCCAGCACCAAGCGCTTGTGGTGTGATCAATAGATCTGATCGACTCGGTCATCTGCATTATGAAACGCTTTCTTCATTTTGGATTTTAACTTTTCAATGTTTTTTAGTTTGAATATATGAATCTGGATTGGAGTTATGAGTAGAGGAAATGAGACACATTTTTAGGTTGATTTATGCTAAATTAAGGTGATAGGGAAACGTGGAAGGGGTGATGTTTAGGCCATTGTTGAGTTTCCTCAATAATGATTGTTGTTTAATGGCCAATATACTGTTGAAATTCAGCTTATTGTGATGGCTTACCGTGTGTTGATGTGGTTCCAGGCTACTAAGCTGTACTGTTTCGTACACAAGGTACCCGTTTGTGGAGAATGCATATGCTTTGCACAACATCAATTATGTGTGGTATGATTTCATGCTCATAGTCTCTTCATTTACATTTCTAGTATCATGCATTATGTATCTTTGCGGTTTTCTGCATTTAAATATGGCCATTCCTTCCGATTCTCACTCTAATTCAGTATGAAGGTGAACGCATGTTGAATTGCCAGTTTCATTTTCTCCTTATTTTATTCATTCTAGATAACTTTTAAAAGATGATTGCCGTCGTCCTAGGTCCGTACATACTCTGAATGGGTCATTGATGGAGATTATGATTGGCCTCCAAAATGCTGTTTCTGTCATAATGTGCTTGAAGAGGCAGCCGATACTCAAACTATCCGATTGGGTTGCTTGCGTATGTTTTTCAGCTGATGTAATTTAACAATTCTGCTGCCAGTGGTCCTATTGGGATGTAATGCATTCAAGTTTATAAACTTACGTTATTGTGTTCTTTTTTGTGTGTGTGTAGATATAATACACAAAAATTGCTTTCTATCACACGTGAAAGGTTTTGCACCACATACTTCTCCACCTGGATATGTGTGTCCAGCCTGTTCAGCTTCAGTAAGTTCTACTTCTAGAAGTTAATCGTCTTTTCTTACTTTAACTGGAAGTTTAGAGAAACCTGTATTACCGAAAAATGATTAATGATAAGTTGGACTGTGGGGCGTTTGTTTAAGAATTCAGAATAAGCCCTGAGACATTGCTCTTACTTATTCATAGTTTTTCAATGCAAATATCTTCATGCTTTGTTATAAATAGTTAGTTGGACTAAATAGGTTAAATCCAAATGATTTTAAATTCCTGGTTCCAAAGTTTGAAAGAAATAGAGAGTAGTTGGGAATGGAAGTGATCTTGATCATGAGAGCCAATGGAGTTTAAAGTACTAGTAATATTTTCTAACTCATCCGTGAGGAATGTGTTTTTCTTGATATAGATTTGGCCCCCTAAAAGTGTCAAAGATTCAGGATCTTCTCTTCATTCAAAACTGAAAGAGGCAATTCTGCAGGTACTTTTGTTTATTTAGATTTTGTGTCGTGGTGTCTGTACTGGCTTGCTACAAAATTTGGTCACTTCTTGTTGCTGTGCAGACTGGTCTGGAGAAAAACTTATTTGGAAATCATCCTATATCTTTGCCGGCAATAGAATCTCGAGATCCTCCACCTGCTTTTGCTTCAGATCCATTAAAACAAATTTCTATTGCTGACCCTGGTGGAAAAGATGTTGAAGGGTACATAACGCCAGGTGCAATAGGTTCGGGGAAGCCTTCCACCTTTGATATTGTAGAGACAGATGGCCCACATCCATCTACTTCGCCTCAGTCCAATCATGAGCCTGGTTTTATTAAGAGCGCAAGCCCGCATGGTGTAAGTAATTTTTTAGTGTACGATAGGTGAAAGGCTCTCTATGTAAATCATTGATGTATGCATGGATGATTGATATCATGCATGGGTGATATATGCTGTTTTTAAAGTTAGTGCTTGGCATCTTTTATACCACATGAATATCTACAAATTGCATCCTTCCCAGCCTGGCGCTACCACACGAAAGAGCATGATGCAAGTTGATAAACAAAATTCTGAAGCTTCATATTATGCCGACGATGAAGACGGAAACATAAAAAAATACTCCAAGAGAGGTGAGAGCATGTTATGATGCTCTAGTGTGCATATTAAATATGGACTACTTGTGAAATGCTCTGTCCGTTCGTTAATAACTGTCCATTAAGGATAAGTTGTGGTTGTTTTGAAGTGATTATTGATTTTGTCAACAAACATACCCCTATTGCCTATTGTGTCTAGGCTCTAAAAATGATTGTTAGAATATGTTTTTACTTTAATGGTCTGTTAAATGGGCAATTATTTGTTAAACGAGAGTTATTTGATAACGGATGGAGTAGGTTCTTGTGAGCTCATTAACTCAATAGACGCATGAAACTTCTTTTTCAAACTGTCTTTGTTTTGAGAACTATATGGTATGAAAACGGAAGCCTGCTGCGCTGTGATTTTTACTGCACTACAAAGATTGTTGATAGTCAGATATATGTTTATTTTTTTCTATAGGTACATTCCGACATAAGTTTCTTAGATCTCTGCTGCCTTTTTGGTCAAGTGCATTACCAACACTACCTGTAACTGCACCTCCACGAAAAGAAACATCTAATGCTGATGATGTGGCAGAAGGTCGTACACGACAACATAGATCATCTTCCAGAATGGATCCAAGAAAAATCCTCCTCGTCGTAGCACTCATGTAATTCTTACTTCTGCCCACTCACCCCCACCCCCACCCCAACATTTTGATTTGTGAAGTTCCTCTTTTCCCACTCTGTTCGATCAAGACTTAAAATGGTAACGAGCTATCGTTTGAACATGTAGGGCTTGCATGGCAACGATGGGCATCCTGTACTACAGAATCGCACAGAGTGGTCCGGAGGAGCTTCCTAAAGACGGGCAGACTGATAGTGTATCATTTGAAAGATGAAGACTATCATTTCAACCAAACGAGTCGTCGGTACGTTCCCTTTTATTTGGCTCTTCTGCGGATGCATATGGTTATTCTGTAAACTAAATAGATGAAATCAATCATTACCAAAATCTTCTTGACTTTTTTTCCCCCTTCACCTTCTCCCTCCTCACTCTGAAAAAGAGGCGAGCAATACAATAGATCGATTACTATACACACCATAAAAGTGCTTTTTATTGTGTGAAATTTGTGTGGAGCATTTAATATAAATAAATATAAAAAAGTTGGGGACTTGAGTTTATTTGTATAGAAAACTCCACTCCGATCCACAACTTTTTTGCATGTGTGGAAGAATGAGTTGGCTTTTCAAGTTTCAACACGAGAGCACAAACGTTTTGAAAGAGTTTTCCAACTTGCAGGTGGGGAATTATTAAATGCCCACCTCTATATCCGGAGCACAAGTTTTGACTCTACTTTTTCTTTCCCATTTTTTAAATACTAGTTATGCTAATTGGTGCATGCACATCAATCCCATTTTCTCATCACTTCAAGCAATAATAAATCTTATTTGTGAAATGTAAAAATGTGGTTGATTTGATATTTGTACACTTTGTTGGTGTAAAAAAAAAGATTATTGCAATATATATGGGGTAAAAAGGTTTAATTGAACTTGATCCACAAGTGTTTGGCGTCAACGACAATGAGTTTTCATCACGTGTTCACATATGCTCTTGCATAGTTCGAAGTGAATGTATGCTAGTCATATATCCTATCTGGAACAACTAATTATAAAATTATAAGAGTACTATTATATGCTCCCACGTTGTGAGGAACATTATTTTACATTATCATGTCCGGGACAAGGTTAAGGACAAGATTAGAGCTAACTATTAATGGTGTCTATTACGACCTATATATTCATCTAACCAACTTTATTCAATTTTTTTACAATTTGAAAGTGTTTTGAAAATAGATTCTCATTAGACTGACCTTTTTTTATTATAATTTGTTCTAGGGCACATCATCGAAAAAAATAATTTGTTACGAGTATAAATTTTATGAATGTGTAATGGTTAGTTATGAAAGTCAAAGTTGGACATGAAATTGATGGTTCTAGTAAAAAACAAAAAAGAAAAGTGCTTTCATTGAAAATTGCTACGCGGCATAATATGCCGATCGTTCAAATGCGAGACGACCCTCCTCAAGTCCTCCACACTCTCATGCCACGTGTTATGGGGCATGAGGAGGGATTTGACCGCCCTCACTCACGCCCCCTACCACTAAGTGGAGGGATGGTTGTAATGCCATTTTGAGCCCCCTTTTTTTTTAAAATTTGAACAAATCAGAATTTAGTACAATTTCACCTCAATCAATAATAATAATAATTCATACTTTTACACTCTATCACTTACCTTATCATACGCCATAATACATATTTTTATTGTTCAATGATTTACACCAATCATCAATTTTTCAAATGGCATATCGTAAGGATTTCAATTACGTTCAATGTAACTAATATCTATCACTCACCCTTTGTGTCAAAATAACTATGGTGTAGTAATGTAATAATAATACGGGGTTAAATACGGGGATGTACTCTTCCAACTTCCAAGTGATGGTACATGATAAGTATTGTTCCATCCATGCTAAAATGTTTTTCAAAGTTACTATTCACATGGTCAAATTTATTCATACTCTTTACTTATTTTTGATAATTATTTGATAAAATAATACAATCATTTCACCTCTTATTTTGTAGAATTTTTGATGTAGTTTAAAATATAAAATTTTTATTCTTTAAATTTACATCTATAACCAAATAAATTGAATTAAAAATAATTTCAGTCAAATTTCGTAAACTGAACTAGAAAGATTATTTTAAGACGGAGAGAATATTTGCCAATAAAGGGAAATGAAATAATACTACATACTCCCTCGCTTTCATAAAACAACTTTCACTCTAATTTTTCGCGCATTCCATAAAACATTTTTACTCCACTTAAAATATCTAAAATGCACTCAAAACAATTCATACCCACAATAGTTTATGAAATATGGATATTTTAAATGCGATAGAAGTATTTCGAAAGATACGCAAAAAATAGAACCATTTTGTGAAACAGGGAGGAGTAATTAGTAAAGTTGGTGACCCATTGCCGTATTGAGATATATACATGTATGTATGTGTGAAATATACTACCTCCGTCCTGCTATATTTGTTCAATTTTGACTTTTGGAACTGTTCATCTAAGCACTTTGACTCATCAAATTCTCTCAATGTGTAAGCCTAAATATAGTCATGTGTGATCTTATTTGATTTGTCTTAACATATAGATTATTAATATATAATTTTTAAAAATTTTTAATATACAAATTACAAGATAAAATTGAATAAAGAAGTGTATTGGATGATGTATAAAAATGAAAGTGAAACAAATACTTTGGGACGGAAGTTGTATGTATCATACTATTAATAACATATATCGTCAAACCATAATAAAATCACTTTGTCGTTAAGTTGACAAACTTATCTCTTAGCTTGTGACGACCCTAATGTACTAGAAGTGGACCATCTTAATTTCTTCGTTACCCACCTCACTAACTACTTCTTCACTCTTTTCCCTTTTATTAATTATTTCCTTATCCATTTAATTTTTTTTTAAATTAAAAAATGTATAATCCAATAAATTCTTTGGGGTCTAGATTTGACTTCTTGAGAGCTCTGTATTTGTTCTGAGGAGTTTTAATTTTTCACTCAAAAATATCAACAAAAAAAAAACAAAGAAAGATTTATATTCCACTCAAAAATATCTTTTTACCAGTAAAAAATAAAGGAATCTGAAAAGAAGATTTGAATGGGGGAGATCGAGTTCTCGTACCGTGTTTGTATTTGCAACTCCAATTTTGTTTTTTTGGTTTAAATTTTAATTTTCAAAAGCGGAAATCTGGAACAAGGCGGAGAAACGGACAGCTGGCGGCGGATGACTGGTTGCGGCCCGGTGGGTTCGAGAAGATAGTGGAGAAGCAAGTAAAAACCGACAGGTGTCGACCTTCGTCTCTCACTTGGCTCGAGTGAAATGGGCTTTTTCCTGGGCCCGGGCGCACGTGGCGTGGCCGCAGCTCCACAGCGCGTTTGCGTGCCGTATCTTATCGTTGATTAATATCATCATCATCATCATCTGGAAAGATGGATGGATGGATCATTAGGCCCAATTCAAATGGAGTGTTCCACACTTAAAATTCATTATACGGAGTACTTTGTTTTTAGCTAAATCCTTAATTAATAACCTCTGAATCTAATTAATATTCCAACTCCACTCCCTACACTTCTTTTGATTTTTATAAGTCCCATGTGCAATGTTTTTTTTTAAATAACAACTAATATCCCTTATTAGGTTTTAAGGACAAAACTGTTTATTTAATCAATGTCATTCGAACTTCATGTTTTGGGATGATCCATAAGCGTTAAGGTGTCTCTTTCATAAAATTAAAAGTATCTACTCTTGGTAAACTATCTATCTCGCTCCGACCCAGACCCAAACACAACGTACTCCTTCTTATTGCACTCTTTAAATTTATTTGACTTTGAAGTTAAAATTTTTACTACAAAAAGAATCTAAAGGGTGCAATGGAAAAAACGTATACTCCCTCCGTCCCAGAAAGAATGCCACGCTTACTATTCTGACCTCTTGATAACTTTTGTTTGTTTACTCGTTTTGGTTGATTTTTTGACAGAATAAAATATTCTTGTCGCATCTTGTTTAATAGAACTTTTCGTATACTTTTAAATGGTGCAATTTTTACTTTTTATTACTCTACCAATTTGAAATTAAATCGATTTTAAAAGATATGATATTTTACACGTCGTTCGAAGTGTTGCAAATAAATTGAGACGGAGAAAGTATTCAAAAACGTTCGCGGGAACTTAGGGTGTCATTATGACGTCACCATTAGGAGATAAGCGGTATTTATCTACAAATTTACTTTCTCAAAATACACACGGCTACTACATAAGCATTCTAGAATTTCCTTACTATGTTCTTTAAATGGTTGAATTGGGATAGCGATTGCAGACGTGGCCTTAAGCTGAAGGCGGTTTTATGATCAATATCTTAGTGGACCGACTCCCCACTCTCATTAGTCATTATTATGATACTTATTGTACAATTACGCGCCTTTTATATATGGTACACCATCTATATATAATCACTCGCTAAATCAATATAATTAGTGTTTCATAATTTTACACAACATTTTTATAATACAAATTTTTCCCAAACTTTAAAATGTATAATAATGGTCCCTGAACTTTTAAAAGTGTTGCTTCAATGATGCGTTTGCATCATATTTAGGAGTGCGCTAATCACCCACTTATCAATATACTTGTTGAAGCTTGATGAATTCGACAAGAATGATGAAGAGGTTGAATGAAACATGTCCTGACGCAAAGTGACCATTAATGCAATGTTTTTAAAAAATTCAAGAATTATTGGTACAATTGTTCAAGATGAATCATGTAATTTTAAAAAATTTAGGGGTAAAGACTCGGTACTAAATCCAGAAGCTAGATTTTTTTAAACACTAAATCTACGCTACACCACATCGAAATTAGTTAGGGTACGTAGTATGTATGTAGTATTAGGGGATCCCAAGAATTACACGCCAAGACAAAAGCAGAAACACACAAAAACTTGTGTGTGCACAAACAATTAATATTTGTGTGTATATGTGTGTAGAAATATAATTAGAACTGAACTTGAATGTTTTGATTACACATAGACGCGCTATTTATAATAGCTACAAGACCATGACCTAATTACGAGCCCAACAAGAATCAGCCCGTTAACAACAAACCCTACTACATTCCTTAACACTCTCCCTCAAGTTGAGCATGCGGTTAACGAATGTACAACTTGGACAATAAAAAAAACTAGGACTAAAAAAAACTTGATAAACAACTTGAACTTGAATACTTGATCAGTTGTGACAACAACGAACGAAGGTGACCGGCCCTACAAACGAACAATATATTTTGATGACGAATGACTCCCACGCGGTGACACAGGGATGACTAACAAGCATCCCAAACTTGGAGGCCGTGTTGCCGGACTGAGACGACTATGCGACCAACCTCACAAACTGATATGTCGAACTGAGGTGCGACTATGTGACCAACCTCACAAACAAACATGCCGAACATACAGCTGGTTGCACTTGAATATACCAAATAGCAACCAAAAACAATGTCGCCAAAAACGTCATTAAATTTCGATGAACGGTAGAGTGAACATAAAAACCTTCTTTCTCCTGATGAACGAAGCAAAACAAAACCAACCTACGAAGCATTATCCAAACCATTGTCCAAAGTGATGAACACCAAAATGATTAATAGCCAATGTTAAGATTGAATGAACAAAAACAAAATCTCCTGTGATGAATGGAATGGAATCGGCTGAAGGAATCACAAGAACAAATCATCAAATTAAATATTTTGAGGCGGTGAGTGGACTCCCGAGAGCAGATTTGGACTTCGAGCAAACTCGGCGGTGACGCCGAACCAAGAACACAAACACAGTCAGATCCGAAATTCGAAGCAGCGAATAGAGACAGGCAACATGCTGCGTACGAAAACCTATAAATGTGGCATTTGGCAAGAGACGATCAACGGGCGGGAGCACTTGCGCCAAACAGAACCGGGACAATAACAGAAGACGAGAGAGAGGAAGATTTTTTTTTGGGTAAAACGATGGCAATGCCGCCGTCTCCGGACAAACCACCAGCGACTGCGACAGCAGAAGCAACAAATTTGAACAAACTAGGGTTTAGGTTCCCAGGTTGGCTCTGATATCATGTAGAAATATAATTAGAACTGAACTTGAATATTTTGATTACACATAGACGCGTTATTTATAATGGCTACAAGACCATGACCTAATTACGAGCCCAACAAGAATGAGCTCGTTAACAATAAACACTACTAAATTGGCACAACTTGTCCAACTGGAATGAAAGTACATATAGCAAAAAAGTAATTATAATTGGAGCATCTGACCACCGCCACCAGTTTTTGGTACATGTGTAATTATATAATGTAATTAAAGTTGACATTCATACCTCTCTCGTGTACATACAATATTTTTCTTTTTGATCGAACACCATGGGGAAATTGAGAATATAATCGTAGCAAATACATATATTCCAAATTAATTAAACATCGTCCAACTCTTAATTATCGCTCAATATTTCTATAATTAATACAAGAGCATATATGGCCGCATGGGTATAGTATTGGTTACGCATATATAGTACATTATTACTCAATAATCTTTCCCGAGTGCTATTTATATTTTTATGAAATCACACCATTATGGTGTAATAAATATAATGAATGCAATATCTTGGCACCCCAAAAAAAAAACATATCTAATTTTTATACTTCTTCCATCGCATAAAACTTTTCAAAAATGAAAAATTTAAGAGGTGTCCTAAAAATGAGTTATTTTGATATTATTTTCTAATTATAACTCATCTATTAATTATATACATCATACCCTATTTTATTATAAACTAAGTACAAAACTAGAAAATAATATAAAAACTGTACATTTTTAGAGCGTGTTTTTTTTCCTCTTAGAAAAGTTTATGGGAAGGAGATAGTATATCATATCTATTTGCTACCAACATATATATCACATATTACAGTTACCCAGTAGTCACCACATCAAGAATAATTTTTGAAAATCAATACAAATGTTTTTTTTTAAATTTTAAAAAATCCAAGCAGGAAATATTTTAAGGAGGAAGAAAATATAATTTACACCACGTACATATATACATACAAACAAATGTAAAAAAGACACATGTCCCATTTAGACACATAGATAAAGATTAGAGTGAAGAAGTTAAGCTACATACAAGCACATACATAGACCATAGTCCATTCCCAATCACACTCAACTCCCTTTACGTGCCTATCTCAAATCATATACTCCATCTTTAATTAATTATATATTACTCCTATTTTTACTATTAAAAAAAACATTTTTCCCTAGCTTTACCCAAAGATTTAGTACAAGCTAAATTTGTATGGTATGTAAAATAATTCATAAAATGAGTAATTATTTTTTAAACAAGGGAGTATATTGTTAATTCTAGCTTTTTAGTTTGCTCCAAAATTAATTTTAAAATAAATAAATAAATCAAAAGATTTACAAAAATTTTAATCACTCCCTTTTTAAATATACGCGTGGAGTATATATTTGGAGAATTGAGTATCCTCTCCGTTCGGAAATGTTTTTCATATTAGATTTTTCTGGTCTAAATTTATATATTATGATTACGATTTGTGAGAAAAATATATTATTATGCTATGATTTATATTTAATATCGATATATATTCTCGATTAAACATAATTTTCAATATAAATTTTTTATAAAATATGTGTATGTCGTATGAATATAAATAATATGAAATGTCAAAGTGACTTTTTAATAGAAATGATAAGTGTTTTGTAGGACGAATAAAAAAAGAAAGAAGAAAAGTTTCATGGGACGGAGGGAGTATATTGGGAAAGATAAAGTGTTATTTTAACAATTTAAAAAAAATAAAGAATAGGAAAATGGAGTAGAAATTAAAGTATACCTTACCCCTAAAGTATGATAAATATTCCTATTCGTATAAACCAAGTCATAACCTCTACAACTCCNTCCATACGCAACTTCCAACCCCCCCACCCCCACCCCCACCCCCACCCCATACATACACTCTCCTATATGTATAAATTCTTTGCCTTTCACTCCTTCACTCACACTCAAACTCCTCTCTCTCTTCACTTTCTCTCTCTAAATTTCCTACCAAAGTTTTTTTTCCTTCTATCTTTCTATATATGGCTTTGGAGGCCCTGAAAGCGCAGCCGGTGGCGTCGAAGATACACGCGCCGCCGCCTCCACCGATCCTCCGGGAGGTCGACGTTAACAGTTTCAAGAAACGGCGTTCCAAGCGCCCCCGCGCGGAGAGCCCGCAGCCCCATCAGAGCGAGGAGGAGTATCTCGCTTTGTGCCTCGTCATGCTCTCCGGCGGTGGCGCCACCCGATCTGCGACGGCGGCGGCCGCCCAAGAACAGTCTTACAGATGCAGCGTGTGCGATAAGGCGTTCCCTTCCTACCAAGCGCTCGGCGGGCACAAGGCCAGCCACCGCAAGCACGCCGCCGCGAGCTCCGACGAGAACAACCCGTCGACGTCGGCGGCCGCCGGAACGAACGCCCTGTCCGCTGCTCTGTACTACCCCGCCTCCGGTAAGCCGCACGAGTGCTCCATCTGCCACCGGTCCTTTCCTACCGGCCAAGCTCTCGGAGGCCACAAGCGCCGCCACTACGAAGGAAAACTCGGCGGCGGCGGTGGTGGAAGTAAAGACGGCGGCAGAAGCAGCAGCGTCAACACATCTTCGGAAGGCGCCATCGTCTCCAGCCGCGTCCCGCTGGAATTCGACCTGAACGAACTGCCTCCTTCGCCGGGATTAGAACTTCGCCTCAGCGTTGACTTCGCCGGCGAAAGTCAGCCGGTCGCCGGCGACCACGAAGTAGAAAGTCCAATCCCAGTCAAGGCACCGCGTTTATCCTCGTTTCGAGACGAACCAAATAATAATTGAACAAAATTCAATTCATCATTGGGATTTCTAATTAGTCCCATTTGATTATTAATTTCTCATAAACTATTATTAATAATTTAATTACTGTCACAGATAATTTCAAAATTTGATCTTTCATGTACAGATCAAAAAGTAGCATATATGAAGATGTTTTGAACTATTTTTACCATGCAGTAATTAATTCTTTGATTCAATAGAATTCGATTCATCTTAATTACTCTATTATTGCTAATAAGGATTATGTATAATTGTTATACTTTGGTTGGTTAAAATGTATAATTTTCCTTTTAATAGATTTTCTATTTTTGTTCACATGTCCATGAAATTAGACTAAGTTTGTTAGTGTGTGAAACGCCCAATTTGAACGGGTTATGGTTCATTCATTCATTCATAGGTTACCAAAATTGACTCAGTTTGTTTTGTTGGTTACCAAATTGAATTAAGGCCCATCGCATTGGACCCAACCCGGCCGCTTTAATTGGTAACTGTCTTTGGTTTGTTGTTTTCATTGTTTCGAAAAGACAAAAAAAAATTGTTATACACCAATAATCGTAACGTCAGAAAATCATTCAAATGACAAAAATATGATACTCTCTTCGTCCCACTCTCTTTGTCTACTTATCTTTTGATACACCATCCAATGCACTTCTTTAATTCATTTTATCTTGTAATTTGTATATTAAAAAATTACAGAAATTATATATTAATAATCTACTCTCTCCGACCGAATTTAAATTGTCTGTTTTGATTTTTGGGCATATGTAAGAAAAATAAAAAATATAGTTGATTTTTCGAAATTGTCATTACCTTTTAGAAGGGGTGATGATGAATGAGAAGATAAGGTGAAGAAGAGTGACTTATTTTAGGGGTAGTTTAGGTATTTTATTTTTAAAAGTTTACGAAAACAACTAACAGACAACTTATTTTGAGACGGAGAAAAAAGACAAACAGGCAATTTAAAATGGGACGGAGGGAGTATATGTTAAGACAAATCAAACAAGATCACACATGGCTATATTTAGGCTTACACATTGATAGAATTTGATGAGTCAAAGTATTTAGATGAACAGTTCCAAAAGTCAAAAGTGGACAAAGAGAGTGGAACGAAGGTAGTATTTCAGAATTACTTTTCAAAATAAATTTATCGATATTAATTTTATATCAAATTTCAGTATATTATTTCCCATATATAAGAATACTCGAGATAAGGTTGGTTGTGCTGCACAAGTCATCACACGTTTTTTTTATGGCTGAACTAGTAGAAAGTCAGCTCATGATTGTTATTCGTGTATATACTTATGGCTTTAATTTGTTGGTGGAGACGCTTTTAAGTAACCTTAGCATTTTGATTATTTTTAACTAGGCCAATAGAATTTGAAAATGTCAAGTTAAACGATATCGTTTGATAGCTTTTTTAAATATTAAGCAAAATATTTGACTTTTTAAGGTCAAAGCACAAAAAAAGTGTAGTAACTAATTTATAGGAAATGTAATAAATTGGCTTTGTTTGGTAATAGCGTTTTCGATTAGCGTTAGCGTTTTGGATAAAATTTTAACGGTGCAGATTAATTCTGAAAACGCTAACGCTAAAGGCTACCGTCGGATAGCTTTTTCAATACTCTAACGCTAATCTCTGACGCTGATGCCAAACAGGGCCATTCTTCCCTCACCACAAAACTTTCTCCCTTTCAAAAAAAATTAGGGTTTAAGAAATGTACTATTTTGTTTTTATTAATTTTATCCTTACTTTATTATAGGATAGGTATGATGTAATCTAGTAGATTAACAATAAATAACTACAATGTGATAAGTAGATTAATAATGAATATGGGAGAAAATAAAAATTTTTTTGAGAATGGAGTATATTTTAAATAGCAATATGTTACTCGTAATAAATAGCACATGTTATACTTGCTCTGTTTTCTAAAACACTTTGTGTTTCGTTTTTTTCCTCTTTCACCAAAATATTTCTACTTTTTATTAAAAAATCAGTTTTATCTCTACTAATCATTTTCATACCTATTATAGGTAGTACATCATATTTTTTTGCAATTATAAGCTAATCAACACATCTTTCTTTAATTTTACTGTCCGTCAAGAACAAATTTGAAGAGTTAATTATAAATATACACTTTATTTCTTATATTAGTCAAAATATGATCCGTTTTGGTGAATACCGCAGGAAATACATGATATACTAGTGCAGGGTATAAGTGGAATCTTTCGTGTACGAATTCCATTGAGAAATCAGCAGTGGGGGTGATGAGGAAATTCCTTTCCCTTTATGATTAAAGAAAAAAGGTTCCGATCTAAGTGAATAAATTCGATGGGCAACCATACACTGCAGCTGGTGATATAATTAGTGAAATTTGCACTAAATAGGACTAAAACATAATGACTTTTCTAATGTAGGACTTAAACTTTTTTATTTTCTAAATAGGACTTAATAATGACCTAGTGAGAAGAATAATGTCCAGTAATGATGGACATTTACTTGAATAATGACTATTTTATAATGACCAAAGGTCCTACATTAGGAAATAAATAGATATGATCCTATATTAGGAAAGTCATTATGTTTTAGTCCTATTTAGGTAAATTTCTCAACTGTTCAGTGGTAAAAAAAATCCTAATAATCAATAACATAATAATTATAATATTTAATTATATATATAAATATAAATACGCTTATGGTGTTAAATTAACTATATATTGTAATTAAAGAGGCGAGGCCATGGTAACACAGTAATAATCCAAATATAATCAAGCGTGCTTAATTAATTAATACAGTATATTATATCTGGCAAATACTCTCTCCGTCCCAAAAAGATTTACACGTTTCAAAAAAAATGCGTCCCACAATCTCCTACACATTTCTATTAAAAAACCACTTTTACCCCTTACTTTTTCAAACCCTACCTATCACATCATACATTTTTCCTAATAATCTACACATCACATCCTACTTTTACCCGGCCATAACATTAAGGGTATTTTTGGAAAGTCAACACAAAATTATTCCTCCCTTAATTTCAACTTTAGTCAAAATGGGTAACACTTTATGGGACGGAAAGAGTATTATTCATATATCTTGTGCATGGTATGGAAGTAATCATCATGATTCATCATGATCATGATCATTATGCATGCATGTATCACACGCTATATTACCCTTAGCTTGGATGGGTTGCTTGAATTAGTTTTCCTAAAATTGCGGACGTAGCTTACGGCGGCGGGGATGGAGGATAATGGTTACTTGGGGATTAAGTAATAAGGGAAGATTAACGATTAGGGTTTAGTTTAGACGATGATATGGCGGCAAATATACATACAGGAAGGAATATATATGGATCGGATGGGAGTTTACGTACGCTTTGGTGATTTGCTCATTAGTTCATAAGTTAGATAGAAACAAGCAAGGAATAATAATAACATATTTTTCATTTATTTTAAAAGCCATTCTAGTTTCTAGCTAGCTAGCTAGCTTCACACCAAAGGATTAATCCACACGCAAGAGACGTGCACAATTCATATCTTGCAAAGTTTTGTCAATAATACTCAGCATTTCAAAAAGAACGTCATAATTCACTATTTAAAAAATTACAGAAATTTTTGTTTATTTATACATTTTTTTATTTGATAAAATAATATATTTTTGTCACTTCTTGCGTTAAAGAATTTTTAACAAAGTATTACATATATAATTTTTTTATTATTTCTATACCAATCTTTTTCATGACATTATACTAGGGTGTGGTTGTTATTTCTATACCAATATTTAAATAAAAAAATAGAAATTTTTTTTGTTTTGCATAATGTGTCAAAAATTTTAGCATGGAGGGAGTAAAAGTTTTCGACGTACCAGAAAACATTGTATGCTACTTTTTTAATTAGATAGTGTGCCCCAAAACTAAAAAGAGAAATGACAAAATTGTCCAATTTTAATAAGTGGAGTATATTTAGCTAAATGGGATGCATGTGTTTTTAGCATCACCCTTAAAAGGGCCACGAAATAGAATTGATGGTGTACAAATTATTAAGGGAGAGTATTTGGGAGTACACAATTTTTGTCTCATACTTATATACTTCATCCGATAAAAAATCACTAGGGTAGGGTGTTGTGGTGCATCAAGGACGAACCTATTTGGGGATTTACCGAGGCTTAAACGGTAGGAACTAAAAATCATCAATTTTACTAACGAGAGACAATTAAAGTCCAATGCAATATTATGCCATTAATTAGGTTCCAATAATGTTAAGTGTAGAAATAAAATATAGAACCAAAACAAGTGTTGTGAATAAATATGCTTAGTTTCTTACAAAAGCCAAAACACATTACATTAGTTTGCCAAAGTTCCATTGACATTGAAATGAATGGGTTGGAGTGAGTTTGGGCCGGGCCGGGCTAAGGTGAAGGGTTTACCAAATAGGGTTATGGAATAAAAATCATTATTTTTAAGAACAAAACATCAAAGATCCACTAAAAGGACTGCATTGGATTCACTAGTGTCAATGGTACCTAATGCCATGAATCGTATCACCATTAATTTATTCTACCAAGAAATCTATCATGGTCATTTTTATTTTTGGGCCACTCATGAGCCACAATCATACTCTTTCACACGGCGTAGGATATACCATTCACTTACGGAGTATAGAGGGTTAAATTGTTCAATCAATTATCTACTGTATAAAATGGTGATGCAATTATATTGGTATTTCTCACAAGATGACGACAATACAAGACAATATATCTCACATATAATGAGAAGAACGATGCCTAATTATATATCCTATCAAGAGCCCACAAGGAGAGAAAACAAAACAATACTCCCAAAGTCGGGGACCTCTTTCATGGATATTTAGTGCAAGCCTAAAATTTTTCCTTACAAATAACACAACCCTCCCAAATTAATTTCTTTTACTGATTTTGGAAAATCTGGAAAATATCAATTCAGAATTTTAATTTTAATATCTTCCAGGAATATATATGAAGCATGACTCTATACTTTTCATCGGCAACAATGATGTGTAGGGCAATCCAACCATATTCGGGTAGGCAAAATCATAAAGTTAAAAAAGATAAAATATCTTAAGCAAGAAGAAAATACATCAATCCAAAGATAGTTTGATAAAAAACAGAAAACGACGATGACGTTGATTACATAAGAGGTAATGCATTCATAGCGTTCAAATATCAAAATGCTCTTGTTCTTGTTCTTCCATGGTGCATTAATCCTCTAGCGGTACTGCAAAAAAATAAAGGAGAAGCTCAATGAAAAGGAGCTACTCTCAGCTTAAACTTCATTGGAAATTTCTCACTACCAGTGGTTTTGACACAAGACATGCATGAGGTTGGGTTTTGAAACAAAAAGTAAGTAGTTTTGACTATTGAGCACAAGAAAATTGACCAAAGTTCACCACTGAGCTTTACTGAGAAGAGCCGTAAAGAAGAAAACAACCCAAGGTTTCAAAAATGGTTAGTCCAAAGTAGCATAAATCAAATCAAAGAAGCTGCATAGTGCATACACACCTTGATGAATCCAATTTCCTTGGCATTGTTGCGGAAGCACTGCCTGCAGCACATGATTCCATACTTTCTGATGATTGCATGAGGATTCCCACAAACCCGGCTGAAAATTTACAACAAAATTCATTAAGCTGCCATGTACTCTACATGTGCGTTACAATATAGAATTGCACACATCTTATACTATGTAAACCACACGAAAAAGAAAGAAACAATGAATCTGCCACATCAAACAATGACTCCAACGAGTATTATACCTCATAAATGTGCATCCTCTAATTCTCAATCTGTGAAAAGAAAATAAGTGTAGACTTTTCTGCAAATTCATTCTCATTTTCAAGCACACAGAGCCATTTCATTATACAATTGTTAAAAGGGCATATATCAGTTTCAAAATGTCCATGCTCTGGCCTCTGGGTATATGCAAAGTAATAAATGTTAAAAATAAGCTTTCTTTAACTTGAAAATGGCATATTTTTAATACGTGTTATAAACAACAAAAATCTGGATGTAAAATATAGGAACTCAGTCAAACACATTGAGAAGGATGAATAACTGATAAATAAGACCTAGAATTTCTCCTGCAATACCAAATGACATCAAAATAATGGAAATTTCTTCTATTGCAAATAGACAACTAGCTATATACAGAGTATGATAGAGTTGTATCGCGCTGCACACTAAAAATATCCCTACGATTCAATATAAACTAAGTTGAAGATCTGAAAACAAATCTGGAGACGCCGATTCCACACAGTACTTGAAATGCGACATCATGAATTTAAAGTGGATACATTTCAGAGTAAGATGAGATCGGATGAAGAAAAAGGGAGAGGGAGATACCAGACGCGGGAACCGGGGCCGTAGTTCTTCGGGTGAGCGTTCCAGATATTAGAGTGACCCATTCTCTTCTCCGCCTGACTCTCTTGGAGGCTTTCGGTCGCAGAGACGAAACAGAGCGGCGGTCGATGGAGAAAACCCTAAACACTGGGGAGGAAGAAGAGGTCCGGCACAGTTTATATTCGCTAGTATCGACTGATATGGGCTGGTGGTGAATTGTTTAGTTCTTCTGTAATAAATGGGCCTTTTCGAGGAATACAAAACCTACATAGCATAATGGATCGGGTCAAGGTGTGCCATCACTTGAGCTTCCAAATTTTTAGCATATAATATGGTTAGATGTTCATTATTCTAATTATTTAATATTTTTAAATTTTATTTTTTGATTGTACAGAGTATAAATTTATGTTTTAAAAGTCAAAGTGTTATAAAAGTACTACCTCCGTTCGAATTTATATTATTTACTCATAACTCATTCGTTCTTCATCTACTCTTTGATGGGTCACGCTAGGGTGCCAAATGGGTGCTACCACAATGCACTCATTCTTCACACAAATGATAATCATCAGTACTACACAAATAATAATCATATGTGTGAAGTATGAATGCACCCATAATAACAACCATTTGAGGATACTCTAACATTTTTCTTCTTTTATTCATATATTATCTTATACTTCCTCTTTAGCAAAGAAAATAAAGCGATGAAGAAACACCGTATCAGCGTTTTGGTCATTTTTTTAATAATATACTCCCCCTGTCCCCCATAGATCTTCTCATTAACCCTTTTTATTTGTCTTACATAGATCTTCTTATTATCTTTTTTAACATTTAAAATATCATAACCATCCATATTTACTTTATTTATTACACTTTTTCCGTTTTATTTAACACACCCCAACCATTTTCATTAAAGATATTTTGGTAAACTTTCACCTTTTCTCAATTCTCTTTAAAAAACACTAAAAATCAAAATGAGAAGATCTTAAGAGGGAGGGAATAAATACCAATAGATGAATTTTTTTTAAAATGTTAAAAGCTATCTTGAAATCTGGGAGTTGTTGCCAAACCGGGCAAATGGCCTGGTCTGGTGTTTATTAAATACTCCCGAGTTAAAGTGCATTTCCTAGCCGCGGTTGGATAGTGGAATAGCTCGCAATGGCGTCGTCTTCAGTCCCCGTCGTCATCTACGAAGAAGAAGAACTGGTGATGGACGACGGGTCCGGATCGGGTTGGGTGGAGCCCCGAACCAGCTGCGATCACCTCACTTCGTTGTCGCAGGATCTGGCACACATCCCCCACCCCGCCACTCCCTGCAGCAAGTTAGTCCACCTCTCTAAAAACCCTAACCAAAAAAACCCCAATCTTTCTCCCAATTTCTCAAACTTCCTCTAATCCAATGGAAGTTCTGTTTTGCAGGTGCCAGCATCCCATGGAGAATTGGCTGTGCTTGAGCTGCAAGCAAGTGTTCTGCAGCCGATTCGTTAACAAGCACATGGTGGATCACCATGAACAGACGCCAAATCACTCCGTAGCGCTTAGCTTCAGGTATATATATGTTCCTCCCAGAAATATCTCAATTCATCGACCCCTTCTTCTTCTTCTTCTTTGGATGCAGTGATTTATCAGTGTGGTGTTTCGTCTGCAATGCCTATTTGGATGCACAGGCCATTCGCGCTCTGCACATTGTTCATCAGACTGCTTATCTGCTCAAATTTGGCGAAGACCCTCCTCAATTGCCCAGTAATGATCAGTGTTTGCAGCTTGGAAATGAATGAATCCCTTTCTTTTTTTTGGGGGGTGGGGGGGTTAAAGAAAATGGTTTTGCCACAACGCCCCAGACCCTACTCTTGTGGGATTTAACTGGGTTGTTGTTGTTGTTGGTTTTGCCACAACTACCATACCTGTTTTTTCCAATGCTAATGCTTATGCTGTGTTGCACCCAAAGTATGTGTGCTTGATTTTGATTCTTTCATTTCTGAATAATTCTCATGTGCACAATTTCCATATTCGAATCAATAAATTACTGTTGGAACACCATGAATACAAGGCAAAAAACTTGTTCGTGCAAAAGGCAGAAAAGATTGTTTTTCAACAAGTGTGGAATTGAGTTGGGACATGTTTTGGCAGAAGAGAATATATATAAAAATAAAAAAATAAAGAGCAAATGACATTCCAAATTTCTCACCGTGAATCAAGAAATCTACAAGACTAGATAGTGTATTGATCTAAACAAAAGAATGTGAATAAATGCAATGCAGTCAAGATGAATTACGGTTGACATGTTCTTGATTTTTACATCTCTGGGGCTTTTCTCCTTTCTTCTTCTTCGGCTTCAAGCCACGCAGCCTAAACAATAAATAAAGTAATCAATGAAATTATAAAGATACGCAGGCCATAAACCATAATGTGTGTGTGTAAAGTTTACTTGGAAATAAGAAAGATTTGCATTTGAATGAGCAACTTGCCTTATCTCTCTGAAGTCTGGAGAGATGAGGGCGAATGGAGTTACCCAAGCTCAATCCACCCCATGCTTGCTGCAACTCTTTCTCCCTAGCTTCTTTGCGAGAAACCGAATGCCTAATCTGGGCATCATCTGATTCGCGGGCAGCAGCCACTTCCACCGTTTCCTTCCTCTCTAATGTACTATCACACTTGGCCTTCCTCACCAAGACATGATCCAGACTACCTGGTTCATTGCTCACCCCAAGGGAACTTCTACTCACACTTGGCAGCTTAACTTCCTCAGTTGCTGCTTCTAGAGCAGCCATCTTCTCCTTCTCCAGCTTAGAGACATGCTTCACCAGTATTTTGTCTAGCCCATCATCACAGTTGCCTCCTCCATGCTTTCTCCTCTGAGTTCTCATCAGGACACCTCCAATTGATGATGATGACTCTTGCATTTTCTTCATCTTTTCCAAACGGTGAATCGGCTTCACTAAAACCTTACCCAGCGAGACTTTACTTTCATCCACTTCTGCATCTATGTTCTTGTTCTGCTCAATGTTTTCTTTCCCCAGTCTTTCTACTCCTCCTCCCCCACCTGAATCTGGTATACGGAAGTTGCTATTCTTTTGTCTGTCTTTTGCTTCTTGCACTTCTTTTTCAAGTTTCGAAACGTGCTTCACGAGGAATTTATCTAGGCTAGGAATCTCATCGGCCGCGTCTGATTTTTTATTGCCAACTGCCCCCTTACCATCCACTCTCTCCGAATTGGTTTTTGATTCTTTAATCTCTCTCTCCAGCTTTGAAGTATGTTTCACCAGTATACTCCCAAGATCAGGAACCTCAGAGGAAATCATATGACCACTTGACTTGCTTCCAATTGATGATGATGATGACTCTGAATGTTTTTCAATTTCAGTGCTGTATTTAGATGAAGGCTGATCTGAAAAATGGCGTCTGTCATTTTCTTCCTTATCTCCATTCCTTTTAGCTGTTTTGGCTTCTAGAACCTCCCTTTCGAGTCTTGTCAACCGCTTTACCAGAAACTTGTCCAGGCTCGGAAGTGGGGCCTCATGTTCATTTTGGGGTGGGCCTGCATGTGATGTATGATCTGATACTGCTTCCACCTTAGTATGCAGTCTCTGGTTTCCGGCTTCTTCAAGAGCCGCATTTAGCCCACAAGTGGCAACTATAGTAGCAAGAGACTCAAGTTCATCTTCTTGCAAACACCTCAGTCTTTCCACCATGATCTCTTCAATCTTTGTGATATTACATTTCCTTTTGTTTTCACAAGCAACCTCCATCTCAGTTGCAGTATCGGATTCTTCATCTTTTGAAGAAGACTCTGAATTCTTTTCATCATTATCCGGGTTTTGACTGATTTTACGCAGCAGTTCTTTGAACTCATCTTTGTTCATTGAAGGGCAATTCGCAAGTTTGATAAGGGCAGCTTTAACTGCAGATGCCACCTGCTTATCCACCTCAAATGCAGTTTCAAAAGATGTTCTAACGGTGTGCATGTTGGATCCTCCCACTCTTGATGCAGATGTTTCAACGCTGTACTGTTTCTGTGAAGCACCTGACGTATCATATAATATCACTCCAATCGATGTTGCTTCTTGAAAAGCTTCATCTGATGCTTTTTCTGCCTCCATTAAATGCTCTTCTGCTTGTTTAGTATCAATTCTGTATCCATACATTCAGGAGAACAGTTACAATCAAGAAGAGTCATATGTTATTATGCCAATTCCTAGAGAAAAGAAGGTTAATTACATTTACCTCCCTGAGGTCTGGAAAAACATTTAATTAAAAAACTACCTGGCAGCCTTAAGTATTCTACACCAAGATGCCTCAACCATCGCAACCTTTCGAGCCTCCATTGCTTTCTGTGCAGCCTCCCTCACTGCAATTTTCTCTCTTAGAACTCTTGAATAATGAGGGTTGGAATCACCCAGAGTCTCATCAAGTGTTGAACTCATACCATCTACTTCCTGTGTCACATTGTGTCAGTGTCAATCCGCCCAGAAGATTACTATGCAAAGTGGTCAGAATCAGACGAAGAACGAAGATCGAAATGCATATTACTCACCTGCAGTAACTTTATTTTCCTCTTCAAATAGGAGTCCACCTTCTGTCGAGGGAACCAATTCAGAGGTGAAGTTTTTCTATGTGGAGGCTTCCTAATTTGTGACGCGTTTTTATTCAAAGAAACCAAGTTTGAATATACACCTTCTTTCGTGCCCTTAATCTGCACAAATCCGAAAGCAAAGAAAAATATTTGCAGTTAAGGAATGTTTAACATCTGAATCCTTGCATAGCCTTATTCTACTCTACACAAATCCGAAAGCAATAAAAAATAAAAAAATCTATGCGATTCGTGAAATTTTAACATCTGCCATTATGAAACAAACAATTTCGCCGGAACTAGTAAACATTAAGGGGACTGTGAGATTGAAACCCTAGAAATTGGATTTGTTACCTTGGCATGTTTGGAAGTGGGAGCGGCAGAGGCAGTAGGGCTGCCGGAAGGAGATGGAGTCTGATTGCAGGGGATGACTCTCTTCTTTTCGATGCAACCCATATCCAAGCAGCCGAGATCCATTTCCCCGTGAAATTGAACCCGGATCCGACAATAGGTGTCCGCCAAGGGCTTGATAGAGCTCGCAGTAAGTCAATGATATGATACTGCAATCGTCGATCCGGATCTGAGATTGAGAATCAAGTAAAACCAGAGCGAGAAAATAAAATCGATGAAGAGACTCTTTCTTGTGGTTAGGCTGATGAACGAAGAAGAAGAAGAAAAGAAAAGTATTGTCAGGGATAGGGATGCTATTGGGGACGGGAAATGGCCGATTATTTTGAATGATGAAATGGGAACTATCCGTTATCAGCAATTTTTTCATTCCAACGGCTCTTTCTTTAAAAGTTTCCACTTTTTTAATATTTAAATCCGTTATACCATTAAGACTAGTGTTAACCCCGTGCTTCGCACGAGCTCATATATATTCTAAATTTTTGAGATTCTGTAAGTATAATGTTAGAAATGTACAGTGGCAAGAAAGATGAATGTCTTGCACTGCCACATGAGCTCTTTCTACTCATATTATGGCATGACAAAGCCAAAATGCCTTGCTTGGTGAGGCATGAGTGTGACACTCCAACCTTCTTTTTTTTATTTTTTTAAATAATTTTTTTAAAATCTTTTATGAACAAAAATGTACAAGAAAGTAGGATATTTTTTTCTAAAATAAATAATCAAAATATTTTTTTATGTTCAAAAAACATTTAAAAAATGTAAAAATGATGACTTGTCACTGTAGAACTTGCCACTCTATTCATTTGTCACACGCTGACTGGACTATTTTTAATTGTTTAAAATGTTCCATGTCACCGTGTGTCATTCCATTTTTTCCTTGCCATTGTTGATGCTCTTATGACACCAGTCAAATTGAGGCACATACGGTTCTATTCGTAAAATTAATGGTTCTTACCCCCCTAACCCACCCTGAAACCCCCCGACCCATTCATCTCATCTCGCCCCCACCCAATCCCCCCTACACCCTCCTAGATCGCAAATTTGGGACCCCAAATCGGCGATCTAAGGGTGCAGGGGGTGGGGGCGGGGTGAAATTGATGTGTTCAGGAGACAGAGCAGGAATCATCAATTTTACGAACAGAGCACCGTAAGTGTCACGATGTTACACCACTTAATTTATTTGATTGTATGTGTAAATTAAAAAAATATATATATTTAAAAAATTACATAAAAATTTTATAAACCGAGAGGTGAGATAATGAATATATATTTTTTATCAAATACTCCGTAACTAATAAAAATAGGTAAAGAAAGTTTTTGGAGTAATAATACGAGGGAATAATTAGGATTCTCAATGTGAGAAAGACCAAAGTAGGACTAAAATATTAGAAATATACTTCTTGTGGACTCTGTTCCACAAAACCCTTCTCCTTTGATTTTTCATCCGTCCCAAAAAAATCCTTCCCTTTTCAATTAAAAAGTCATTTTTACCCCTATTAATTCTTAACCTATCTATCACATCACACTTTTTCTCTATTGATCTACCCATCACATCCTACTTTATCCATCACATCGAAGGGCATTTTTGAAAAATCAATAGTAAAATACATTTTTCTTAAATTCTTTAAAAGTCAAAATGAGGAGTTTTTCCTTCTCATTTTGAGGTAATTATTAATGAGATTTTCCTTCACTGGTTTTATTACAGAATCAAAATCATTGGTAACTCAACTCCGTATATATCTTATCCTATCATATCATATGATATATAAAGTGGAGCGGATTAATTGTGGTTGCGCCATATGTCATGCCATGTAGGACTCTTTACCAAGTACCACGCCATGTGTAGCCACATAAGCTTTCTTCTAACAAATATCATTGGGGGACAAATGGGGGGCCTAGCATTTTTCAATATCATTCCATGTGTTGTTATATGTCATGTCTTGTCATATGTCATGTCATGTAATTATATACTATATTTTTTATCTTGCAATTTTTTTAATATATTTCACTTTATTTTTTTTAAAATAAATTTTTTATAGAGTATGAATATTCATTACAATTAAAGTTTAATTTATATTTGTAAACAATTATTCGTGCATTTCTAATAGATTTTAAAAAATTCATTATCGATAATGCCTAAACACATGCGCCAATAACACAGAGTGCGTGTTAACCATTAATTAAGACTTAGTTTTATCAAATTCTTGATAAAATCCTTCACTTTCTAACACAAAATAATCATTATTAATACTAAAGATTAATAAAACCTTCAAATTTTTATAACATATTTTTGATAAAATAATATGGTCATGTCACTCATTGTTTTGTAGAGTTTTTGATGTAGTTTTTAATATGTAAAGTTAACTTTTTAATCTTGCTTCAGTCCTCTAATAAATTGCATTCGAAATAACTTCAGTCAAATATCGTAAACCAAAATAGACAATTTAACTTGTGACACAAGGTATATAATTTTTAAAAGTATCCATCATTAATTTTATTTTAGTATTTCTAAAAAAACATTATTATACAAATTTTAAACATATACATCTTTATATAAAAAATTTATATAACACATACAGAGTATTATATAATTATTCGAAAATTAAAATAAAGAAAATTACATTAATAGCTGTCAGCAATTCAGAATATATACGAGCCCGTGCGAAGCACGGGGTTAACACTAGTACTCTATATATATTGTCTAAGTTCCCTATTTGTAGGATTCTCTTCAATTGTTGTCATTTCACCTATGTCAAAGTTTTATAGTTTATTTTTTGTTCCAAAAGTCTAAACATAAAAAGTTTTACGGGATATTATATTTCTTTATGCTATGTTTTGTGCAAAAAATTTATAAGGAAAAGAAAAGAAAATAAAGTGGAAAACTCTTAGAACTTGTGGAGAGAGAGCCGTATGTATGCATGGCGCACCTCACGGAGATTTTTGTGTCCATTCCTTGTTAATACTTGTTACCTATTTTATAGCAATTTCATGTATGGTAGATGTATACAATTAATAGGTTTCCTTTGTAATTAATTAGAGGCCATTTATGTGGTAGCCGAATGGAATCAAAAGCTGAAGGCAGTAAACATATTTTCTACATAAAACTTTCATGGTATCGGAGCCTTTGGGCCGTGAAAATTTGCAGTAAATTTTTTTTTCCCCTTTGTGTAGACTAGTATCACCCTCGTGCGTTGCAAGGGTTATACTTACGAAACTAAATTAATTTTTTTTTCAACGGCACGGATTTAAAAATGCACTTGAAAGAAACTGAGTAAATATTAACTTCCAGAAATTAATAAGAAAAAATGTTGATTTACTACTAGAAATTAATAAGAAAAAATATTTCCATTATTTAATTGTTCTCAATAGTAAACATTTTTTATTATTTCCATTAATACACTGATAATGAGTTCTTAATCGTTCCAAATTAATCAGCAAGAACATTTCCATTAATTAAACAGCCTGACTTACTTTAAACATGATAAAGAAGAATATGATTTGCTGATAATAAATATTTTACGCGCCTTTGTGCTTTAAACATGTAAATGTTGACTTACTTCCGAAAATGAAATTAATCACAATTATATATAAAAATGTTAATTTATTTCCAAAAAGTACGCACGACGCATCCATCCAATTAAGCCCCTACTTTCTCTATTATTTCTCATCCATCTATTCGTTATATATTGGATCGTTAATCTTCTTCTCTTTCTCTGTGTTGATTGTTGTCCCATTACCGAGTTAAATTTTAGGTGATTTTTTTGTTGTAATTCTATCATAAAATCTGAACTTTAAAGTATCCTCAATGTATAGTATATATCCCGAGTTTTATGAGCTATAGATTGTATTTGTGATCATCGTGTCAGATCCTTAAGATTTTGTGATGATTATTACCATAAAAATTGCGATGCCTTCTTATAATATGATGCAAAGACACTCTGATTGATGTTGGGATAAAATTACAAATAATAATAATAATACTCCGTAGTAGTAGTAATAATAATAAAAAATAATAATAATAATAATACTAAAAATAATACTAAATTAATAATAATACTAAAGATAATAATAATAATAATAAAGAAAATAAGAAAAGTTGAAAGTAATTCCTGTTGGAGAGTTTTTGAATGTATAGGTGATGTCCAGTGCAATTCTTTTGTGAATGGGTTTAAAAAACCCCTTTGACCCAGCCCATCAAAGAAAACGGAGGATGAGGTCATAACCACGGCCCACTAGCCCACAGGTCCAAATGCCCCAAAAACAAAAAAAAAGAAGAAAACGGAGGATGAGGTCATGAGGATCGAACAAAAAAATTTAACGGAGGATTAATCGGCAGAAGGCCTCCAACGAAATCAACCAAAGTACGAAACATAACTCCAGATTCCAGAAGGCTGCTGAAGGATCGAAACCAGAAGGCTTAGGCAGATTTCATTCTTGACCTCTTTTTCTGTGCTTCTTCATCTAATCTTCAGATCTTCTCTCATCGTCGAGGTATTATATGTAAATTTTAATTATCCAATTTCGAGATTTGTTTCTTAATATTTGAAGGTTTTGAATATTTCTTAATTATGTTTTGAATTTTGAATATTTATTTTGTTCCGTGGTTGCTGTGTTTGTTGATATTTAAATATTTGATAAATGTTAATGCAATTTCAAGTTCTAGAGATTAAGATATATGAAATTGTTGTTTTACACTTTGTTTGTTTGGAGGTAGGGGGAGGTTGAAGAAGGTAGATTTAATATTCTACCTTGTTTGGTACCAAAAATTGAGATAGGTAAAGAAAGTTAGTGGGGTAGAGGGAGGTAGGGTTACCTCTCAATAGTAGTTTTTATGAATTTTTGTTTAAGGTAGTTACTATTCTGAATTTTGTTTATTTATGAAATGAGTTTTTGCCCTTGCCCCCACCCCCCTCCGCCACTGATAAAATCTTTTCCCTTTTGTTTTTCTCCAATTCCTTAAAACACTTTTACTTTTTATTAAAAAATCACTTTTACTGCTTTTTTTTACTAATAACCAATCTATCACATCTTACTTTTACCCATCACATCAGGGGTAAAATTAGAAAGTCAACCAAAATCACAATTTCCTTATTTTGGCCCAAAGTCAAAATGGGAGGGAGTATGAATGTAGTTGATACCATAGGTAGTTGAGAGTGGCATGCAGAAGATGGAAGAATTGAAGAAGGCTATATTATTATTATTATTATTATTATCATTATCGATCAATATCATCATGATTATTATTATTATTCTACAATAACACTTGATTATGCAGTGTTTTTGTTTTGACTGTGTTGGTGGTCTGCTTGCTTGCGTATGTATAGGTTTACAACACAAACAACAATGGTGGAATACGAACTCCAAGGCAAGTGCTACAGAAGACAACTGTTTCTACATCCCAAGGTTGTCAACGGCCAGAAGGTATCGATCTCTGTTGATTCTCTGCCATGTTTTAAGGATCTAGTGATCGTTGTGGCATCTTGCCACAATTTGGTGTTATGCTCAGAGAGCTATGATGACGAGTATGATGATGGTGTCTATTACTTATGCAACCCTTATACGAAGCAATGGATCCAGCTGCCCCCTGCCCCATCCAAGGGCCAAGCTGTACTCGGGATGATATGCGACCATCCTATTGTTTGTAATAATGATGATGATGTGCCTAAGGGGTTAGGTGGGGTAGGGCTTAAACCGCGGCATTTTGGTTCTGAAGCTTTATTTAGGGACCAACTAGCCCACCACAGATTCCGGGTGGTCCGCGTTCCTCTGCCGGTCTTTGCCAATGATGATGGGGAGGGTGGGTTTCAGGTGGAGATGTTATCATGTGGTGGTGGTGGTGATTCTGGGGGATGGGAGTGGCGGACTCTGCCAGTGGTGTTGCCGCCGCTGCGGAGGCGGCCATTCATTTGGAAGGAACACAGGATTTGGGTCCGCAGGCATGGTGTTGCCTGCAACGGTCTGCTACATTGGTTGCTTGGTAGCAGTGCGCAACTCCTAGTCTATGATCCATACACAAATGTGGTGAAAGCCACAGTAGAGACGCCACTGGAAGCGGCGCCAATCTTTCCTCTGAAGCTCCTGGGGCCATCATGTGGGTCTCTATATGGGCAACCCAATACGTGCCGCATTTCCACCCTTCATACGACTGGTTCATTTGGCAACTCAGTCCGGATTATGATGGCTGGATCCTGACGCGCCGTTTCAAAGTGGTTTTTGTAAGAGGCTTCTTCCAGATGAGATTGAGATCGATGGCGTTGTTGGATTTGTTGGCCATCCACCCCAACAATCCCAACACGCTCTACGTTCTGTGGAGTAAGCATACGCCCGGCCAAGGCTTTGAGAATGCAGTTGGGCGCCTGGATTTAGCCGCTATGGAGTCGAAGCTGCTGGTTGGAAGAAGCAATAAGACTAGCTCTATTTACTCGTGGCGCCAAACTTGTGTGCTCCCACCCCCGCCTTCTTAATTCTCTTTCTACCTACCAAATGACCTAACCTCCTCCTTTTTGAAACAAAGTATTTTTAAATACTCTGTTTCAAAAATTTTATATTATTGCATTATTTATTTTATTGCTACATATATTTTCTTTACAAAATAAATAGAATAAAGTTAGTTTAATATTCTCTAATGACCATTAATTTTGTATAAATTCTTTGTTTTTAAAGTAACATACCAATATATATTCCACCAGTTTAAAACAAATTTTGTCACTATTAGAAAACTAAAATAACTAAGAGCATCAACAATGGCAAGGAAAAAATGGAATGCCACACGGTGACATGGAACATTTTAAACAATTAAAAATAGTCCATTCAGCGTGTGGCAAATGAATAGAGTGGCAAGTTATCATTTTTATCATTTTTTACATTTTTTTAATGTTCTTTGAACATAAAAAATATTTTTATTATTTATTTTAGAAAAAATTAACCTACTTTCTTGTACATTTTCGTTCATAAAAAATTTTTAAATTTTTTTTTTAAAAAAAGAAGAAGATTGGAGTGCCACACTCATGCCTCACCAAGCAAGGTACTTTGGCCTTACCATGCCATAATATGAGTGGAAAGAATTGATGTAGCAGTGGGCATTCCTCTTCCTTCCACCACTGTACATGCTCTAATGTTCCACCACTTTAAGTGGTGTAACATTACAAAATCCCTAATTTATATAGGGCTAAGTTTTGTCTACTTTCACTACAAGATAAGGCCATGTTTGCTTCGCCTGATCTAATTGATTTCGATTTGAATGAAATAAATTCTCATCTGGTCTGATTTAATCTGAATGTATTATATTTAAAACTATTTTTGATCTTATCTGATTTGAATAAAAATAAGTAATAAGTAAAAAATATGTTGAGAAGAACATGGCCTAAGAAAAATATTTTTTAGTGTGGGTATAAATCGTGAGTAAAGCTTCCGCACTTAAGTACAAATATTGACGCAATCTGAATCCTCTTATTAAACACTATTTAAGGCCTAAGAGTAATTTGTTAGTTTCATATTGTGAAACCACACACGCAGTCACGCACACAGCATAAATAAGGCAAATTTCACTTTGTTTCAATATATATAGTGTAAGTGTGTGAGAATAGATTGCGTAACCAATAAACACCACACACACTGTGCATGTATATGTCGGTAAGAACCAGATTACACAGAACATTTAGCAGACACTAAGTACAATTCTTTTTAATTACGAAAGAATTAAAGTACAACAAAAGTTTAATTTGACAAGCCAGTGAGATACCTTTGTTCTTTAATTTAAATTCACTCTTTAACTATTCCGTGCCATTTTTTTAGTTGAACCCCAACCCACAAGGTCTTTCTAATATTATTGACCTGGAGTAGAGTAGTTTATTTGTGTCATTTTAAGGTTGTTTTCAGTTCGGCTGGTCTGATCTAATTTTTGAAGATTTGATTTGGTCTAATCTGTTTTTTTGGGAAATATTTTGAAAAAAAACAAAAATTGAAAGAGAAAGTATTTTAATATGTTAATGTTACTACTTGGAAGTTCAAAAAACAAGTGTAGAATTTGTGAACCACAAGCATATCAGGGCCGCGACTCAGAACAAATAAAGTGTGATCAGCATGTGCCTGACGAAACCCATAACTACGAAGTGCATGACGGAGTTTAGCAAACCAGTTCCGGGGAGACTGACGAAGCCCATATAAAGACTTCCGCAAACGACAAACCTTCCCAGCAAATAAATGAGCGTAACCTGGAGGAACCTTCATATACACCTCCTCACAAAGATCCCCATGCAGAAAGGCATTATTCACATCCAGCTGATCAACCTGCCAACCACGTGCAACAGCAACAGAAAGTAAAACACGAACAGTAGCTAACTTAGCCACAGGAGCGAAGGTATCAGTAAAGTCGATACCCAGTTCCTGGTGATTCCCCAGTACCACCAAACGAGCTTTGTCGCGTTCCTTTGTACCATCCGATTTGTATTTGGTACGGAACACCCATTGACACCCAAGGGCCCTGCGATACGGAGGTAAAGTAGTGATGTCCCAAGTATGGTTTCTTACCAAAGCATTAAACTCCTGTGCCATGGCCTCTCTCCAAGAGGCGTACTTTACAGATTCCTTAAAAGTTTTAGGAACCGGGGAAGCATCAATTGCACCAAGGAAACCTTTGTACCTGTCATGTAACTTATCATAATGAACAAAGTTAGTAATAGGGAACCGAGTACCTGACGAGACCGAACCGGATGAAGAGGAGAGCGGAGTATATCAACTATGGCAGAATTGAGGACATAATCATTTAGACGAGAAGGTAAACGACGGATACGAGGGGGTAAGGGGACTGGAGAATCGGAGGGAGAAGTGGTCTCCCCCGTGGAAGGGGATGGGATGTCGGAGGCATCGTCGCTGGTCGGCGACGAAGAGTGAGTGGGAGAGGGCGGCGGGCTGGCGGGTATGACAGGTGTGACGGGAGTGGGCTGCCCGTCCGTCGGGGTGAGGGACTGGGACAGAGGGACGGCAGGGACGGCTGGGAAATCTTCGGCCGATGGATTTAGGACAGACGAAGGAGAAGGGGTGGAGGTCGGGATGGAGAACAGGAATTGGGTTTCATCGAAGATGACATCCCGGGTGTGGAAAAAATTATGAGTGTCAAGATTATATACCTGCCACCCCTTTGTACCATAAGAATACCCAACGAACATGCATTTGACACTATGAGGGGAAAATTTATTTGTAGGTTTGGGATTGAGACGAACATAACATAAGCAACCAAAGACACGGAGATGACTTAAATCTTGAGGCTTGGAAGATAAAATTTCCAACGGGGATTTTCCTCCAAGGAGTTTGGTAGGGGTACGATTAATCAAATATACTGCTGTTTTGACACATTCCCCCCAAAACTCAACTGGTAAAGAGGCCTGAAACATGAGAGAACGATCAACATTTAAAATATGACGATATTTGCGCTCGACTCGACCATTCTGTTGTGGGGTACCGACACAGGACGTTTGTATACACACACCCATGGAATCATAATAAGTGCGTAAAGAGGTGTTTAGAAACTCAGTGCCGTTATCAGAACGAACGACCTTTATGACCTTAGAATATTGGGTGTGAATCATGGAAAAAAACATTGTAGACATGAAGTAACTTCAGTCTTTGTACGAATAAGATACACCCAAACAGCCCTGGAAAAATCATCCACAATAGTGAGAAAATAATGAGCACCAGATGACAAACAAGCAGTATAAGGCCCCCATAAATCACAGTGAATCAAATCAAAAATGGCTTGAGCTTTATTATGACTAACAGAAAAAGAAGACCGAGTTTGTTTGGACATAAAAAAAATCTCACATGTTTGAAGTTTCTTGACAACAGATTGGGATTTATTAAAATTAAAGAAAGGAAAAATATCAGGTGACGGATGACCCAAGCGCTGGTGAAGGAGGAAGGGATCAATTTGGGCAGCGCTGGCCGACGCAGGAGAGGAAGCCAAGTGATATACTCCGTTCTTCAATTCACCCTATCCAATCACCATCTTCGACGAACGGTCCTGTATTACACAACCATGAGCATTAAAAATTACATGACAAGTAGTATCTCGTATCAAGCATCCAACAGAAATTAAATGGCAGTGCAAATTAGGAACAAAGAAGACATGATGAAGCACCAAATGAGGGGATAACCAAACACTTCCCTTCTTTGTAGCTTGAATACGAGAGCCATCGGGTAAACATATCGGATGGGAAGGTACATCCATAATATCAAACAAATGAGACAAAGTGTCTGTCATATGATGAGAGACACCACTATCAATAAGCTAGTCACAAGAAGAGAATAATTTACCCGAATAGGTGTGCGAGGCAGAGGCTTCCAACATGGACATTAGACGGCTCATTTGATCACTAAAAGAAGCATTCGCATCACCCGAAGCAGCATGCACTGCTGCGGCAGGGACAGTAGCTGAGCCGCTGCCACGGCCAGACGGGGCAGTCCCACTGCCTGCGACACCTCCAGGCCCACGGCCTCCTCTGCCGACGAGTGGACCAGCCCCACGACCACCGCGAGTAGCGCCACCACGAGTACCTCCCCCACGACCGTACTGAGATGGAAAACCAATTAGCTCAAAACATGTCTCCACGTTATGATTAGTCCGTCCGCAATGAGAACATAACAGTTTGCCAGACGAATAAGGACGACGCTCCGACTTAGCCGCAAAGGCTACCGAATCTGTACGATCGTCACGAGCGCGTACAATGTGCCGGTGACATTCCTCCTGTGAAACCAGATAATATGCATGATCAATATCAACCACCGGTTCGGTTCCAAGAATCTGGGACCGAATGGGATCAAACTGTTCATCATCCAAACCGAGTAAAAAATCAATAGTTTTGTCGCGTTCAATACGAGCACGCGTGAGGGCAGCCGCCTCACACTTACAACCATTGGTGGGATCAGACGTACCATTAAGTTGATTCCACAAGGTAATAAACGGATTATAATAAGAGACAACCGTTTGACCCTTTTGTCGCAAGGAATTTAACTCAGACTTTAACTGGTACACACGAGGACCATTAGAGCAACCGTAGCGCTTCTTCAGATCCTCCCAGAGCACGGATGCCACAGTGTGAGACACAATACTATGTTGAATAGACTCATCAACACTGTTAAAGATCCAACTACAAATGATTTGATTGTTGGGAGACCATGCAGATAATTCATGCTCATCAGTGGGTTGAGGAATACCACCGGGGGATAAAAATATAGATTTACCACGACCACCAAGTGCATTACGTATCGCTTTTTCCCAAATATCGAAATTATCACTTTTCAAAAGATATTTGGTCAAGGAATTACCGGGACCTTCGGAAGGGTGAAGATAATATACGGACGACGGATCATGAATCAATCTTGTTTTATTAGACTTTCCTTCGGCGGACATGGCGAGTAGATGATGCACGACCAGAGAAGAAGAAACGATGACAAGAGAGCCGACTGGATCGGCGACAGACCTGACCGGCGATTA